TAAACCAGTACCTTTTACAAATATGGCAAGATTAATTGCACAAAAATGGTACAATATGAAATTAGTAGATTGGTCAGTTTTTATATATACTTTCCTTCCAGCATTGTTGTTCTGATTTTTAATTTTTAAAAATGTTTTAGATATCCAATAGAACAGTTTGGCTTATGAAAGTGGTTAAAAATTTCTGCCTAATCAGCTTACGGTTGCAGCAGCAAACATAGCAGTAATAATTTGTCTATTGATACATTGTGCTTACGTATACATGATTCTAACCCAGACTGGGGTGTGTGTGTGTGTGTGTGTGTGTGTGTGTGTTTTCACATTTAAACATTACATCTCAATTTCATAAACCTGGATTTGCTTTTATCTTAACCTTAACCTTCCAGCAGTCATTGCTACACCATACGGACAAAAGGGCACATACACAATGCATATTTATATACAAGAGCTGCTTGGCTATGGAAAGCCATGCTATAAAGCTCTGGGCACACAGATTTTGTGCTGATGTTAATGCCAGAGGAAGTTTAGAACTCCCTTAATTGAACTCACGTGGCACACATAATATAAGGACTGAACTCACTTTAAGCTCCCTCTTTTCACTCCCACATTTGGTGGCAGCTGAGGTGAGTTTGATTTGTTCTTCTAAATTTAAACCTTTATTCTTAAGTTAGTGACTTACAGTCGAACCTTGTTTTCTCTTTCAGAGTTTAGCAGTCCACGTGTGTCTTCCTTTAAGTTATCGCCAATTACAATGAAATAAACTCAGATATACTGCAACTAATTGATGGCTGTTTTCTTTGCATTCTGCCCGGATGAGGCCATGGTGATAACAATTTCCACCTTCCTTTGAAAAACCACCTAATTAACATATAGTGTATATATGAAGCTGTGCAGTGAACACACTGTGACAGTCTGCCTTAAAAAACAGAATAAGAGCAATTATATTTACACATGCCAAGTGCTGACACTCACTGTCCAAACATGTGGTCTGTGGAGCTCAAATGCAAGCCCAGTGTTGTTGTATCTCCCCAATTATAAATCAAGTGCAGGACTCGAGGCACTTAAATTAGACAAAACACTGCTGCAGGGTTTTCTTTTGGCGGTTTTTTGGCTTGAAATTTTGTCTGTCTGACCCATGAACAAAATGACAGACAGCAAAGAAGCGGTAGCACAGCAAAAAGTGAACCAAGGTGAAGTGAAAGATGGTTAAACTTGCAGTCAGAGCCTTTGTGTCTAAAAACAAAATAAGTCTTTTTAAAGAAAAACCTGTTCAACAGGCTTAAACATGTAGAAAGCAATCTTTGCATCGTTGTTCCATTACTCAGTGACAACATGCTTATCAATATAATGTAAACTGTTTTGAAAAAAACTAAATCAAAGCCTGTCTCTGTGTAGACTCACTACTAGCATAATGTTCCACATCATAGCACAGCAGAGATCCACATCAGATACAAACAGGTGTTGACAGACAGACAGACAATAAAGAGAACCAACATGATTGTTAAGTTCAGGATAAGAAGTATGGCTAATGTAGATATGAAACCCCTACTTGTAGCCATGAAGTAGCTTTGCTGAGAGATGACCATACATCTATCATATCACTCATGCAACCTCTGAAAATTAAGGGAAACCCTGAATTTAACTGCATGTTCTTAATTTCCTATTGAATATGTATTAGGGTTGTGTCACAATATATTTATACCTGTTATATAGGCAAAAATGTCATGCTATAGTACTATAAAATGTCACAACATAATTGCAATGTCTTGTGTTTTCATTCCATAGTCCGGACAAAGAGACAAGCCCAGGCATGTCTGAGAGCAAGAACCGCTTGTCACCCTCCAATGACTATTTGGTCCCTAAAAATGGAGCTACTTCGGTGACAGGAAGAGCAAATTGAGGTTATATAGCGGAAAAGTAGAGCTTTTAAGCAGCTGGTTAAAAAGTTTCCCAAAAATTACAGTATAGAAAATATTTTTTTCAGTTTTATTAAGTGACAGTCTTGTGCAGGCTCCTTTTGGTTATTGTTAAAGTAAATGTCTGTGTCACTGCTATTGTACTACAGTGCTTGTTTTATGCTACCATAGTTGTGGCCATTTACAACCCACGCAAACCTGTTCCTATGCAATCGTTCAAAAATCCAACAGTGTAGGACAACTGTGCAGATGTCAAATGCTGATTGGTTGACAATAGTGATGTGTCAGTTGCGAACAAAACGGCTCTTAGAGCCGGATCTTTGAAGTGAACGA